ACATATGTAATGGTATTAATGGTTGCACCAGGAAAGCGCCCCCTGCACCTGAACCGCTGACCCGTTATAGAATGGACCCCAAGAATCTATGCCGTGTACACAGAGCCGGTGCTAGGATTCGTGCCTACACAGGATAGGTGCATTTTTGCGCCCCCCCGACCCCCTGTATTTTGTACTTGTACTTGTCAAAATTCCCCGATGTTTGCGCTATGTTTTTTTTTTTCACTTACCTTCGGCGCGGGAGGGCAGCGGCGAGTCAGCGCTGGTCCGGTGGGAGGAGCTCCAGGTGGGGGTCCTAATTTAGCTGGCCGGTGACTGCCTGAGGTGCCGCGCGTCTCGGGATCCTCAGGCAGAATTAGGACCCCACCTGGAGCTCCTCCCACTGGACCAGCGCTGAATCGCCGCTGCTCTCCCGCGCCGAAGGTAAGTGGGGAAAAAAAAAAACATAGCGCAAACATCGGGGAATTTTGACAAGTACGCGCAGGCCCTTGTTCTTCTCTGGTAGAAGGGGGACCCGGTGGGGGGGGTTCCTGCTGCTGTAGACCCTCCAGAGACACCTCTGCAGACCCTCGTTGTGAAGAGCCTGGCTCCATGACTCACTCCATGGCGGAGTCTATTATATCACGTATGTTCCCCTTTTATACCGTGTGGTGGGAGAAGCGCTCCGCCATGTGTCACGATTCATGTGATGAGTTACTGGCGCTATATTCGAGTATGTGTGCCAAGCAGCCAGTCCCAGGGTAGGGAGTTTCTACAAACACAACAATGTATGCCCAGACCAGAGGCGGGTTTACTCATCACACATCCTGGCGATGCGTTCTGGGTATCAGAGCTGCCGGGTGATTGTCATGCGTTCCCTTCAAATTTGCTTTGTGCGTTAATAAAGCTGAACTGCGCACAGAGGACATACACGGAGGGGCTGTTGTACCTGCGATCACACACGCCTGTGCACCCTGTCCTGCAATGCACACAGCAATGCCCCTGCAGCACAGCAGACCCGATTTTTTCCTCAGCTGCAGTTCGGTAACACTTGCAGGTCTTGCCCCGCCCCCAGCTGGTGACCGGACGGTGAAAGAAGCAGCAGCAGACTGATGAGCTCATCTCGCCGTCGCTCTGCTCTCTCCCCTCCAATCAGCGTGCTGCTTGGGCTGCAACACAAATGATTCGCTGCTGCTGCTGAGCTCCGCTGTGCAGAGACTGATACCAAGTCTCTGCACAGAGTCGCTGCTTGCATTTGGGGAAAAATAATACATGTTATACTATAGTGTTGGGTATCGTTTTACTCGTTGTAACCTCATCTTTTATATTTCATTAAAAAAATTGGCATTTTGTTTTGTTTTGGGGCATTTCATAAAATTTTTCACTAAATATTGGGGTTTAATAAGGAGTTGCGCTAATATTGCGCAACATAAAAATTTGCAACTACCACCATTTTATTCTATAGGGTCTTGGCATTCAGAAAATATATAATGTTGGGGGGTTTTACGTCATTTTCAAGCCTAAAATGTGGAATATAACATGGGTGCAAAAAATGAGAAAAAGGCCTCAGTCATGAAGGGGTTAATGAATACAGAGCTGCAGTAATGTGTGTGTTCTATCTGCCTGGAGTTCAGCATTTAACATTCCTGCATATTTATTCCAAATGTAATCATAAAATGGAGAGGAATTGCTATAGTCATAATTGTCTGGGGATTTTTGTTACGTTTTGAAGCAGTTCAATAGATTTGGGCAATTTAATAAAAACCGTTCAGGGAATATCTGTAAAACATTTCCCCGCGTTTTATCTCATTACAAATGCTGCCAGTACAAAAAAAAAAAATGTTTGATGTTGACGGATTTGAATGATTGTTGTACTCACCGTAAAATCCTTTCCCTTTAATTTAAAGGGACACAGGAAGCTTTAAAAGCAGAACTATGAGGGGGGAGGGGGGGGGGAGAGTGCTTTTCACTCTCAAGAGGTGCAGACACAACCCCCCCCCCCCCCCCCCCCCTACTACCAGCATGCCTCAGTTTTGTAGCCAAGCGGTACCAAGGGCATGAACATAAACACAGAAGTGGGACCCGTGGCCCTCAATGGACACCAGGAAAGGGATTTTACCTTGAGCAGATTTCTTTCTCTTCCATTGAGGGACACAGGAAGCCTTTAACCTTCGAGTTGTCCAAAAGCAGTTTAACTGAGGGATGGGCAGCACAGCAATCCATCGCTAAAACAACGACTGGGGTCTGCCTGCAGCCCCCGCAAGAGATGACTGAAGGGACCTCATCCCCGAAGCTGGCATCAGATGAGGCCAAATACATCAACCTGGTAGAACTTCGGGAACATGTGACCAGAAGAGCAGACGGCAGCCCTACAAAGCTGCAAAACCGTTTCTTGATTCCAAGAAGCCGATCTAGTAGAGGGCACCGTGCCAGGAAAGGGTGGAATTTCCGGAAGGCCATAAGCCGCAGTTGTCTGCTGGAGCCGCCGAGAGATGGTGGAACAAAACCGCGCCCAGACACTAGAGGGAAAATGTCCTTTTTCGGTGAACTGGGGCCGTACGGATGGACGGAAGAACAATATCCGGGTTAACTCGGTGGACCGGAGAAACTTCCAGGATTTCGATTATCCAGAAGGAACCGACCCAGCAGCTGTTGATAGTTGAACATCTTCCAAACGATCGGACAACAGTAGAGCTGAAGAAAACACGTCCACTCTCGTGAGGACACTAGCCAAAAACCGAGGCACGGTGGTCGTGGGCGGGGTTTTTCCTGTGCTGCCCAATTGCTGTTTTTTGTTGGTGGTTGTGGGCGGGGTTATCCTGTGCAGCCCAACTGCTTATTTTTGTTGCCAGTGCCCATTTCTGCTGTAGGCGGCAGTATAACCTGACAGACTAAGAATTCCTGTGTCCCTCAATGGATGATAAAGGGAACGTGTTGGCAAAAAAAAAAAGTCTTATCGCAGTACAGCTGTAGAAAAGTCCATCTTTATAGAACACTATAAAAAAAAAAAAAAACTGAGGCTGTCTGGAAGTTGGAGGGATCATTCTGGACTGGCCCGGAGGCTTTTGGTTTGCGTGCCCAATCCTCCTGTACGACAGCATAACATAAAGGTTTAGGACTTCCTGTGTCCTTCAATGGGCGAGAAAGAAGAACCTGTTAATCGGCCATAAAGCCAGTGAGCTAACAACTTCCTGTTTTGAGTCCCCCCCCTGGACTACAGAGCACCTCTCCCTCTCCTATCTGCATCGTCGTAACAAAAGGGGAAGATGTTCTGTAATCTAGCAGGGAAGATCTGGAAAGAGACGACAACGCAGGTTAGGATTTCAGTGCAGCAGAGGCATCGTGTTGTCAGCTGTAAAACGAAGTTAGGAGCTCACTGGATTTCTGGTGCATCAATGTTTTTTTTTGTACTTGCAGCATCTGTAAAAGGGATAAGAATGTGTAAATCTGCGTGTTTAGAGGGAAATGTACTGAATATGGTACTTTATTGTTGTGATAACCCGGCTGGTATACCGGTACTGGGAAGAAAACGCTATCGGTTTCATATAAACAGCGGGCTTTTCATCACCAAATGCCCCTCCCCCACAGAGCAGAAATCAAACACCAACACACAGGATGTTGTATACGTAATAAACTCGTGTTTCTACAAGAAACAAAGCAGTTAATATACAGAATATACAACTCTTTTTTTTTTTTCTTCTTTCAGGCCCGACACCCCCCCAACCCCCCCTTACCCTTCCGAGACCTGACCGACCTGCCGTAACGAGCCCTCCGGTCCCCGCCCTACGTACAAAGCCGAGCCGGAGACCACTTCCCATCCCCAGCAAAAAAAAAGTCATTTGATAACAAAGCCAAAAAAAGCTGAACAGGAACCAAAATCTAGACGTGGAGTCACCGGTCACATACATGTGTCTGCATTGGTGACGTGTGAGAAGAATGCGTGTACAGCTGGGTTCGGAAACATGCTAAAAACAAAAAAAGAACATTTTTTTTGGCAGTGTTAAAAAACGCATTTCGCCTGATTTCCGGGTAAGGCGCAGATCGCAGAGAGCCGCTGGAGTAAAAAAATTAAAATGGAAAAAACGCAGAGTTGATGGCGGTGCCTGAAGGTCCTGACGGGTAAAATGTTC